AATGGGATTTAAATATGCATTGACTAATTATTGATAATAGCCCATTTGTACAAATGTTTCCCATCCTTGAAGCTGATTGGTTCACGCACGAGCAGCGCTTAGTTCTGATTGGTCTTCCTATAATCTGTATTATGATTGGCTGGGAGAGCCTGGGCAAGGCGCCACCACCAGCTCGAACAGGTTTTTTTGTTGACTGACACACTCATGGAAATTGCGTTTGTGCTTTGACATTCTTGTATAACGCCAGTATTCTGGGAAGAGCTGGCAGTTAAAGTGCTAAAGGATTGTTGCAGTCACAGTGGTAACCCCAAGGACTTCGGTGTAGTCTGGGGAAGAGCGCTGGCGTTGGGCTTGCTGCCTTGCAGTGATTTTCTACCCTCACGTGATCATCGCATTGGTTGGTGTTTATTAGTATACTGTATTTGCCTTTATAAGAATAGTGATGTGCCATTATTTCCATGTAGGTGTAATCTATGTCAAGTGCTGATACCTGATATGTTTTACATAAGCGGAATTGTCTCGCATAGATGCAAGGGTGCAGGCTGTCTAGCTGTCCTGAGATGTACCTGTCGTGCCGTGACGTGCCTGTGGTGATGTGAAGTGTCAGTGTTACCCGCTTTGGGATACGATGTACGTATTTTATGTTTGTGTATTGAATTTGCTACTTATGTTAGCCATTTTGAAATTATTTGTATATTAGGTGAGCTGCATTTCAGTACATAGCAATGGTATCTTTGTTTGCAGCTCGAATCTCCTCCAAGAAAGGTTTAAACCGTGTGCAAGAATCCAAGAGACTATTCTTGAAGCCCTTATTGCTGCAGGCAGTGCAGACACATTGTACTGGTGGCCCCACAGTGTGACGTATTCTGTAGTTGGAGATACTGGGGACTACAATCTTCGAGACGGAAAGTGCTGATAAATGAAGGCGCATTTCTTGTCTTGCTGCCGCATATATATTGAACCAATATCTTGTATGAGTTCTCTGTTTTAGATCCATGTTTTTCATTGTTTTCCTCGTGTTGTAAAATTTCAAATCATGGCAATGACTATATCAATATATTTTTGCCTAGATCTATTTCTAAACAAGGAGAGAGTGAAAGAGGCAAGACTGCCTGTCCAGAGCAATCCAGTGGACTCACATCCAAAGGTTTCTTTTTCTTTTTTATTGTATTTAGACAGTGGAAGAACAATGCATTTTAAGGACCAGGGTAATTATGAAATGGAATCACCGATAAAGAGGTAAATAACATAGTTTAGAGGAGCCTATTAGAATTCACATCTTGGTAAGGATTAAACTTTCTTATAATTGAAGTCATATCCATGGAAATACCTCAGTACATGATATCAATAAAGAAACATATAATAAACAAAATGAATATTATTACGACTTGCAATTAACGTTACCAATGCACCATTTACCAGGGGCCGGATTTACTAACGTCTTACGATATCGTAAATGGTCTGTTTATATCGTAAAACAAGTTACTCTCTCGTTTCTCGCAACGAGCGTATTTTCAAAACACTCCCGAGGTCGTAAACACATCTCCGTACGAGAGACATTTACGGGAGCCCGCAACCTCTCGTGACGCTTATCGTAGCGACCCTCCTCAGCTCATATCAGCTTCATAAATACCTTCAGGAGTGTGTAAATGTCACTTTGCCTTGTGGAAATCAATTAATGTGCAAGAGCAACCATTGAGGATGCATAATAACGAAAAAAAGCAATATAACTAATGCAAATAAGGATTAGCCTTTGCCAGTGCATAGAGATGCGGAAACACTTGATGTAAACCACTCAGCAAGTTTAATTTATCATGAATTAAAGGATCTCTAACACATCTTAAAGTACAAAATCTGAATGAAAATGCATAATTCCATTATGACTATTTTCCTCTATAGCAACAAAACATGATAAATATTTAATAATAAATGTTACCAATATACAAACACACCTCTTAATAGCCTAATGTAAAATTACATTTAGCATTGGCTCCATTTCTTTATGAATAATGATTAAGATGAATGTTTTACTGGATTGTAACAAATTTCTATCATAATATTTTATGAAAATATAATGAAATGCTTGATTTTTTTGAGAGACAGATATGAATATATATATATATATATATATTATATATATTATATATATATATATATATATGTATATATACTATATTCATATATGCATATATACATACAATTCTGTATATAAAAATATATATACATGTATATGTATATGTATATATATATGACTAGATATATACATGTACTGCATATCTTTTGGCATGTGTATATATATATTATATATATATATATATATATATATATATATATATATATATAGGCCTACACACAGACACACACACACACACACACACACACACACACACACACACACCACACACATATATATATATATATATATATATATATATATATATATATTATGCATATATATATGTGTATGTATATATATAATATAATATATATATATGCATATATAATTAATATATATATGTATATGTGAATGTATGTATAATGTATATACATACATACATATACATACAAATGTATGTTTATGAATATATATATATATATATATATATATAGAGAGAGAGAGAGAGAGAGAGAGAGAGAGAGAGAGAGAGAGAGAGAGAGAGAGAGACAGAAATGATAGAGGAGAGAGAGAGAGGGGGGTAAAGATAGAGGGAGAGAGAAAGAGAGGAGAGAGAGAGAGAGAGAGAAAGAGAGAGAGGGAGATGGGTAGAGCCTTAGCTATATATATATATATATATATATATATATATATATATATATATATATATATATATAGGTATCAGAATTTATAAGACTATTTATAAAGGTGGTAATGATCAATAAAAGGTAATGATTCACCAGGTGGTGATATAGATACTGTTTTAAGTAAAACTCATTAGTGTTGCCTCAGTTCAGCGGATAACGTTCTGTGATTGGTCGATTTTTTTCCCGAGCTAACGCTGATTGGTCGATCGAGTCGTTCGTTTAGGAAATAAAGCCCTACGACACCTAGCGATAGAAAATTCGGTCGTTACTTTTACGAGACCCCTGCGCTCTCGTTGTCTGGCATTTGAAAATAGGTCGTAAAGTCGCTAGTTGAGAAATCGTTGATAGTTCTCGTAACTGTTACGAGAGAATTTAGTAAATCCGGTCCCAGGACGCTTAGATCAAGAACTTTCAAAACAAAACGTTCTTGTACAAAGCCTTAGGTGAGTCATTCTGTTTCTCTCTCTTTCTGACACACACAAACACGCACACATACACTTATGTTTTGCGTTCTTAAATTCTTCAAGATTTTTTTTCTTTCATTGCACAGAAGTTCCTGTAACAGCGTTTTGCAAAAATAGGCAGTAATATAGCAACACTAGAATGCAGTTTAATGATTTTATATAAAATTAAAAATGCAAGCTATTAGACAAATATACAGATAGAGAGAGAGAGAGAATATACAAAGAGTGAAGGACAGACTCACTATAGCATACTGCATAGCATGCCACGCGGCGCGGACCCGGACCACGTGGCATGCCATGCAGTATGCTATATCGTAGGTGCCGAGCGATATAGCATACTGCATAGCATGCCACATGGACCGGGTCCGCACCGCGTGGTTGGACCACGTGGTCCGTTCGCGCCCGCCTGCGCCCGCTGGTCAGAATATAAGGGTGGCCGACCTCTTTTCTTTTAACTTTGCTTGCTTGACCCAAGCTCTCATTCTCATACCCTCGGCGAGCTTGCCCGTAGTCGGCCGTACCACCTCGTTGGCGTGTAGGCCGGACACAAGCACCAAGGGCCGTATCGCGTTTCTTTCATGCTAGTGTTCTTAAATAAAAGTGCACAGCTACATCAGTGTATCTACCGCCACCAGTAATTCAATAAATCCATATAGGAGGCTTTAGAGCCTTTTATACTCACACACACACACACACACATGGACAGATAGAAAGACAGACAGGCAGTCAGAGAGAGAGAAAACGAAACGAGAAAGAGGTGGCACAAGGAGGGGGAAAAGAGAGCAAAATCTAATAGAAAATGAGAAAGAAAAGATACCATAGACCCAGTCAGCCACAAAAAATAAAAATCATGAATAAAAGATAAAAAATTATAAAAATAAAACAGGAACACTGAAACAAGACGGAAAGAGGAAGAGTTGAAACCGATAAACGAGGATGAAGCAAGGCAAATTGATGAGGCGAGTCCCGAGTGAGTGAGCGGGAGTAAGGAAAAGCAAATATGCAATCTTATGCTTGTTTGTTATGGCGAGGTTGAGAGGTTGATAGGAGGGGAGGAGAAAAGGTAAGAAATGTGGGGATACCCAAGAGATGGAGAACAAGGGGGAGGGGTAGTGTGTGTGAGAGAGGGGGAGGGAAGGAGATAAAGATAGAGTGAGAGAGAGGGAAGGAGGGTGTTGTAAGCGAGGGAGTGTGCATAGAGAGAGGGAAGGAGGGAGAAAAGAGATAGAGAGAAAGCACCAAGAAATGCGAGAGGAAAAAGAAAATGGTAATTGTAATGATAAAGATAATAATGATGACACTAACAATAATAATAATGGTGATAGTGATGTTACCTCTATCACTGTTATTCTTATTATTGTTATAATTATCATTATTATTATCATCAATATTATAGTTGCTTTAACGTCATCTAAAGCCGTCACTGACGGATCCCTCTTCATTTTCAAAGATTTTTTTTACATGCTTTCGGTAACTTATTCAAGATCAAACGGCTAGTTTCAAGCCGTGACATAATGCATTTTCGCCATACCCATAGATTCCACGAGACATATTCCACAATGGTCTCTAGATATGACAGTTCAAGAAATTATCTAATTTCATAGTAAAAGT